ATGCATTCTACTGTCATGTATAATTATTTAGAACAAATTTTAAAGAAGTAAAAACTTGCTATCATATATTACAACCACCAGGGGGAGTGGGAGTGCCTGTGCCCCTGTTCACCTTCACTGTCTGGTGTCATCTTAGGAATGACCCTGAAGGGGTGGGCTACAGACCAGCCGTGTTTAAGGGTGGGACCAGGGACAGCAATCGCAGCAACAGGGCCATGAGCTGGGTGCATGACTGTGGGATGGAGGGTTCCTGAGGTGGGTAATTGGTGCCCAGGGGAGGGGATGAGAGGTGGTGGTGGGTTTGCTGTCCAGGGCGGGCATGGGCATTTCGCAGGGTGCTCTCTGGCTGGAGCCATTCTGAGGGCCTCAGATTGGGGATGAGGATGTGGCCCGGGGAGAGCAGTGGGCAGGGTTTGCTGGGTCACTCCATTAGCGCAGAAGGAGGCTTGTCTTTCCCCAATGTGCTCCCACGGAAGGGATGGCACCCAGCCAGACTTGGGGTGGGCCAGCTCCAGACTTTGAGAGCCGAGTGCTGTTTGCCGCTGATGCCATGGTAACCTGCCCCGAGCTGGTCTGCCTCAGGTGCCCTGGGCGGTCTCCCCAGCTCTTAGGTGGGAACTGCCTGGCCTTGGAACCAGGCCRGCACCTGTCTGTCTGAAGGCAGGTCTGTCTTCTCTAGAACTGTGCAGTTCAGGGTTTGGGAGATGCATTATCAATAGGACGGTGACATTTCCGAAGCCAAAATAGGTCTGATGTGATGAGAAGGGGGACAGCAGGATGGGATATTTGAAACTGGGCCTTCTTGGAAAGTGCAGGGGACCCTCCCTGCGTGACTGATGAGCTGGTGGCCATGAGGGGGTCCGAGGCTGAGACACTGCAAGCATAAGTCCCCAAGCAGTCACAGTGTGACTTCAAGGAATCTCCTCTTCTTGCACCTTCTTTTGGGTCTCCTGAGTACCCTGACCCATGCTTAGCTGCTCAGTAGTGTGGCAGTTTGGAAACATTGTCCAGTCACCTGGCTTTGTGGAAGCCATGGCTGATTTTGCAGAGAATCTCTCACTTGGCCCTATGACTTGGGAATAATGTCACTTGTTCTTTAGATTCAGGGACCCCAGCGGAAGGCAGAATACTGAAGAACTAAGGGACCATGGTCTGCCAAGATCCCAGGGGTGAACACATTTTGTCTTGCCCCCCTGATGTTTTTCTCCTCATAAAAAGACTTTCCCCTTACACACACACACACACACACACACACACACACACACACACCAAATCCTAAACCCCCCAACCCTACAAATCTAGAGAAACTTTTTTTTTTTCCTGATAATTTTTTTTTCTTTTCCAGACAAGAGCATTGATATATTTGAATCCTGGGCCGACAGTAATTAAAAAGCACATAACTAGTCATTTTAAAACGCAGTTGTTTTCCTTAATTGATTTTTGCCTCCAGACCCAGAGAGAGCAAAAGGAACGGGGATTGGGGGGCCGGCAGAAAGCCTTAGGAAGGGAGTCAAGTTTCTGTGAGTGACTGGAGGCGGCCGAGGGCCCTGCTTGAATCTAATTGCTGCAGATGCCGCCGTTCCTGCCTGCTAATGGTGTTCTGGTGAAAGGGYTGAGGACGAGGCAAATCCTGATTGGAGGGGGGTGGCATTGGTTTCAGCTGCAGGGTGGTGGAGGGGGGTGTAATTCTGCTTTTGGGACAGGGTCTATTTTTCCTTACTATCTATCAGCATAAAGTACTTCCACTGAACACTTGGAATCAAGGTTCCATTTAGAGATACTTTATTCATATTTAATTACAGGCTGCAGCACCGATCTTTAATTACCTTTTTTATAAGCCAGCTAAGAACATCCACTAGCAATCAATTATTGTGTGTGTGCTTGCGTGAGCACAGGGGGGTGTGGGCCTGGGACTTGTATCCAGCCAGAAAGGAAAGGGATGGCTGTGAGGGTCATCGGGAATATGAGGGGTGGGCGATCTGCCTGAGGTCTCCTGGGCCCAGAGTGGGGTGCATCCTATTTCCCACGCCTCTCTTCACTTCCACGGCTAAAATGGGGAAGCTGGGCAAATCCCGACAGCTTTACAGTGCTGAGTTGGCAGCGGGGCCTGCACGGTATCTTGGGGTCCCCTTGATCAGGAAATTGTGGAAGGCCCCTTTCTGTCCCTGGTTTGTCTGCACCTGGAGATTAGGATCTGCTTGTCTCAGCCCTTTCCTTCTTTTGCTTCCCCGTGGGGTGCTCTTGGCAGCTGCTGTAGTCACACAGCCCCAGGGATGCCATGTCACTCTTTGGTTGCAATGACTCTGCAATGTCCCTGCAATGACACCAGATTGAAGACTGGCTGTCCTTCTCAGACAGTAAACAGGTGTTTCTTGAGCAGGCCAAAGCTTGGGGTGGCCATCCCAGGTCTCTTTGCTGCAGGAAGATTGGGCCATTCTAGCTGCCTTGGTAGGGGAGWGGGGTGGTGGGAGAGGGTGAGGGTCAGAGGTCACGTTCTGCCTCAGAAATCCTCTCCTTGGTGTTCCTCCAGAGGGGACCAGAGGTACTGGTGTTGCTCTCGTTGTGTAAGGTCTGGCAGCATCGCTGATAAAAAGGCATCCTACCTTCCCTTCTATTCCCGGGTCCCTGTCCCAGTAAGAGGTGGGGAAGGGATGGAACTGGTACTTGTTGAATCCCTTGGGGGAGCCAGCCCTCCCCTCCCCCGCTGCCCCCATGCCCTTCTCTCTATTTGTCCTAGCTGGGTTCTAAGAACACAATGCTTTAGCCAGATTCCTTTCAGTTATGTGTGACACAAAACTCAAACTGACTTAGCAAAATGTCAAAAATTATCAGGTAGGTACTCAGGCATGGTGCGATCAAGGGGCTCCAACACTGTAGCCAAGATTTATTCCTTTACCTCTTGTCTTTACTTCCTTTATTGTTGCTGCTGTGTGATCCTTATCATGCCAGGTTTATAATTTTCTGTTCAAATTCAATAGAAAGAATTTCTTCTGGGGCTGGGGATGTGGCTCAAGCGGTAGCGCGCTCGCCTGGCTTGCGTGCGGCCCGGGTTCGATCCTCAGCACCACATACCAACAAAGATGTTGTGTCTGCCGATAACTGAAAAATAAATGTTAAAAAAAAAAAAAGATTCTACCTTAACAAAAAAAGAATTTCTTCTCTCATAGTTAAAATAAAATGCAGAAAAATTGAGTCTCGTTGGACCAGTTGGGTCACATGTCCATTTCTGAACCAATCAGGGGGCACTCAGGGTTCTGATCATCAGGCCCAGGGTTTTACCCTCACGGGGATCCACCTAGGTAATCCCCACATATGATGTGTGCTTTCACTGTTTTGGAAATAGTGAAAAATTACCCATTTGTGGTGTTTGGATTAGTAGGAACAGGGAGGTCTAAAGGAGGCCAGTCCTCCAGTGGAGAGAATAGTGAATTTAGTCATCTAAAAGCATCTGCTTGACATTGACGAGTTGCAGCCCGGTTCTAGGTGCAAGGAATTAGCAGTGAACAGAAGAGACAAAGCTCCCAGCTCACTTGGAGCTGAGGTCCTCTTGTGTTTTGGGGGAAGATGGTCCTGGTGTTGTCCCGTCCTGAGCCAGGGGCAGGATCAAGGGTCCTTGTGCTGTCACACCCAGGGGGACTGGGGTGGGTACATGGAAGATTCGTGCCCTTGAGGAGCCTGGAACTTGTAAGGGAGGAGAAAGAAGAGCGTGTTGTTGGGGTTGCAGGGAGAACTAGGCTCTGAGAGGGGGAGAAACAAAGATCCCCCCCCCCCCCCGAGGAAGAAGGGGACCCGGAAGCCAATGCCATATCTTCTCCTGTGACCAAGACACACAGGTGCCTCCCAAGTTGCCTGGGCCTTTGGCCTCTGTGGAGCTGCTGTAAATGGAATGAAGTCCATTGGGAGGTGAAGGATTGGGGACGGGGCAGGAGGGAGGATTGGCAGAGGGTGATGCAGCCTAGCAAACCGAATGGGCGGTGGCTGTGGGTCATGTGACTTCTGAAAACCCAGGAGAGGTGAGGGTCAGCACTGGGGATAGGACAGAGTGACTTCTGCAGAAGAGGGGACAAAGGAAAGAAGGGGTCTTCGGGGGCAGAGGCCTCAGTGCATAGGAGCCTGGGAGGTGGGGGCAGGAGAGAGGCGTGTGAATACTTCCAGGCAGGAATGCRTATGTGCAAATACCTGGCCACCTGGGAATTGCGGGCTCTGCAGAGGCTTAAAGAAATGGAGAGGGTTTGAATTTCAACCTCAGCAGTCTTGAAAAAGGTGTTTGGGGCCTCCTTTCCACATCTGGACCATGTAGTTRTGACCACTCCAGCCAGAAAGAAACTCCCCTCCAGGAAAATTGGTGTGGCGTTTTTTAAGAGAGAAGGAAGGAGGGAGAAGATGCAAAGAGTAAGGAGCGTGTTTTCCACTTCAGAGAGAGAAACAGGCCAGGGAGGACAGGGGCTCTGCCCACAGCTTTCTTTGAGTGGGGCTTCTTGTGACTCCGGCTGGCATCCCTGGGATCTCTGCCAGGGTGGCTGGGCCTGGAGTGGCYTTGGGAACGCATGCCGGGGCAGCTGCTCAGGCAGGAACGAAGGTGGCTGCGGGTTTGCGGCCTCCCACCCGGAGCTCTCGAGCTCTCCTGGTGGGTGGAGTGGGGTCATCTTTCACCCAACCCTGTCTGGGGCTGCTGTGGGCCCCAGGCCTGTGAACTTTTAATTTGGGTGTGTGAGAGCCCCAGAGGCCACCAGGGTGGATGATGAACATTCCAGACAGCCCTACTGGGTCTTTGAGGGAGGTGGCTGGGGCCGGGGCGCCTGTGTGAGGATGGGCCCTGCAGGGGTGTCTTCTGTCTACTCCCTCCATGTGCCTGGTGTGATGCTTCACCATAGCACAGGGCACGGCCAAGACCTGATAAAACGGGAAGTCGGCTGTGGGACCTCAGGCAGCTCTGTTCCTGTCTTACGGAATTGTGCACCATCCTCTCAACTACCCTGTCCTCTCTCCACTCCTGCCAGATCCAAGATTTGTTCCTGAGCTTCGATGACACCCCACTGGGAGCAGCATCCCTGGCCCAGGTCCACAAGGCAGTGCTGCGTGATGGGCGGACAGTGGCTGTGAAGGTCCAGCATCCTAAGGTCCAGGCTCAGAGCTCGAAGGACATTCTTCTGATGGAGGTGGGTGCCCCTCTTCTTCCTTTGTCCTTTGTCTAAGTAGCCTTGGTGGCACTAGCTCAGGGTGTGTGACCCTTTGACCAGCAGAGGGGGAGAGGAGAGCTGAGACCACAGTGGTGTCATGATAACTCGTGACCCTGCCCGATGGCTGGGATGGTCAGTTCTTGATTTGCCTCTGGGAATCCTCTGGATTGGTTTCAGAACATACTGGGCAGCTACTTTGGCCAAGAGGGACCTTCAGGGGATGCAGTGGGAATGAGATGAGCCTCAGGCGATTTCCTTGGAGGTAGTAAAAGTTACACCAGATTTTTAAAATTAGAAGGGAGCATGCAGTCCTCCTAGGAATATAAAAATGATGTGCCGGCCATGTGGAAATATTTATGCAGATGGCATGTTTGCTTATCTCACATTGGTTTTGAATGAACAAAGCTACCTGCCTGAAAATGGCTCTGGGAAAAGCCCTAGAGGCCCTGGTATGCTTCTGGATTTCTCTAGCTCTGTGCTTGCACCAATGGGGAGAGGAGGGTGAGCCGCCATGGTTGGAGTCGCAGCACCCCCACAGGGAGCCAGCAGGTCCCTCCTCTGCCCTTCCTCTGTTTCCTTTGTTCCCACTCCTTACTCTGGACTCTTCTTCTTTGAACTCACTTTACACTGAACACATACAGGGAAGGCTCTTCTTGCATTATGTCCTAAGAGGTGCTGGGAACATGAGAGTGAGTGAGCTCTGTCCTCTTCTTTGGCGGGGGCTCTCTGTTTATGCAGCAGACAGGTGTGTAAACAAACATCCCCAGTGTGGGGCCTGAGGGCTGTCAAAGGGGTGTTTGCAGGGTGTCTGGATGGATGGAGGCTTCACTAAGGAGATGACATCTAAGTGGACCTCAGCAGGGCAGGGGAAGGACAGCCCAGCATGTGTGAAGGCATTGTGCTTGCAGAACTTCAGCTAGTTCAGATGGTGTGACAGGAGTGGTTGGAGATGAGGCTGGGAAGGTAGGCGTGACGGATGGCGGCCTGTGTTCCAGGCTGAGAGCACTCTACCTGGTCAGTGCTCACCACGTATTTGTGGGACTGAGCAGTTCTGATTTTCTCCTGTAGTCTGTGGGGAACCTTTTAAGAATTTTAATCAGGGGACTGTCATGATCAGATATGCTTTAAAAATAAAAATCCGTTGGCATTCTGGGGACTGTATTGAGAGGCAGAAAGATTATAGCCAGGAGACTAATTGAGGGGCTGCTGCATTGGTCTGAGAGAGAATGATGTGAAGCAAGGCAGTGTTGTGGGGGCGGGAGGGAGATGAGCTCAGGTGGTGAAATCATCCAGACCTTGTGACCAGCTTTACCTGGGGAGGGAGCAAGGACTGGTGTGGATGGGAAGAAGGAGACCGAAATCTCTCTCAGCTTTCTAGCTTAAATGGTCAAGTTTGGGTGCCTTTAACCACGTGTCTCAGCCAGGGTCTAGTCCAGGAGAAAGAAATTTCTCTAGGTGTTTCAAACAGAAAAGTGAGGGGTGGGATTGCTGAGACCCCCAATAGGATGGTGAGGCACTCACAAAGAGCAGGAAGTCATTGCTACTCTCAAGGTTGAAGGGGCAAAGAGGTGGTTTTCTGTAGGCCAGGAGCTGGGGAAACCTGGTGGGATCCAGGACTGGAGTGTTATCCCCAGCCAGGTCTAGGGCCTGGGAGTTGGAGCCACAGTATCCCACCAGTGTTGTCCTTTAAGCACGTTGGCAAGGGCACCCAGGAAGGTGGTTTCCTAGGAGAGTCAGGAGGTATCAGTGGATCTCAGCAAAGTGAAAGGGGCAGCCGAGGGGGCGAGATGCTGCTGTGGGTGGCTTGGGATGGGGCTGCTCCTCTTGCTCTGGAGTTCAGGTTGGAATATGGGTGCAGGATTTGGGAGAAAGGAGGCTTATGCTGGCATCCGTCTGGGGCCACCCAGAGGATCTCACATTTAGGGGGTGGCGAGGAAAGAGAAGTGAGGAGCATGTCATTGGGGAAGTGGAACCAGGAGAGTGAAGGGTCTGCAGAGGTGTAGTCAGCGAGGCCCCAGGAGAACCAGGATTGAGCAGAGCTGCCCCATCTGATGAGAGAACCTTCCAGAAGAGGGCGCCCTATCAGGTATCTCATGCCTCACAAGGAGCCATCTCAAGACACGGCTGCTGTGTTTTAGTCGGCTTTCTGGCTGCTGTGACCCAGAGGCCTGATAAGCTCAAAGTAGGGGAGGAAAAGTTTATTTGGATCTCATGGTTTCAGAGGCTCAGTCTGTAGATGGCTGATTCCATTGCTCTTGTCCCCAGGTGAGGCAGAGCATCATGGCAGGAGAGTGTGGCTGAGGGAAGCCGCCCGCATCAAGGTGATCAAGAAGCACAGAGGGAGACTTCACTCTCCAGATACAGAATATATACCCTAAGTCACGCCCCCATTCCCACCCGGAGCCATGCCCCCATTCCCACTTCCCCCAGTCAC